CATGCAAATATGTTTGCTCAGACATATTTTTGTTTGTGCAGCAACATTTTCAAGAACCTTTGCAAACAGTTTTTCAAGATGTGTTCTTGAATGCTCTTTGGCTCCATGACATGCATTTACTTTTTTTTGCAGACTTTGTCAGCTGCTGGTTATCTTTTGCTTAGATATATGATCTCTAATTGTGGATGTTATCAAAATCAGTTACAATTAGAAGACAAAAGTTTATATATGGAAATGTCTTATTTCACAAGAACTCAAAGGAAGTTGGCTGCACATACCTAACAAGATTGAATTTAGCCAATTAATTATAACTATACATTTGTACCATCATAATTTGGTCTAAAATCCACAGCGTAAATTTTTAATTTCAACAGATGATCCTAGCTCAGAATAAGTTGTATTTAATATAGAATAGGTACAAAAAGATATTTCTATTTCTTCCTTTATTTGAATAATATTTTTTTTTCTTTTACTGTAAATGTTCAAAAGTAGTGATGGAATGCTGCTGTTTTATTAATGGTTGATTTAGTAAATTAAGTGCTTGTACTAAAACATCTATTTCTTACTGTATATAACATACAGTCTAAACAGTCATGTATTACCATTGGAAGAAAGCCAAAAACTATACAGTTCACTTTCACATACAAGGACTCTTGGCTTCACTACAAAAAAATTTAATATAAGGTTTTTATATGTAATTTTGCTTTACAGTTTTGAAACATTTAAAGAAGACAATGCCAAATATGATCTTAATAACAAGCAAACACAATTCAACCTAACGAAGGCTTTATGACAAAAAGAACTTACTATCAAAACAGTGTAATTAGAAAAAAAATCTCTAATGCCATAAATGACCAATTATTAAAGATGCAGGAACTAGATTTTCTTTCACAAGAAAATCTGCTATTCTAAAACATTTCCTGTTCTGAAAATGGAGCAAAACCAAATGAATTTTTCAAAGTTTCCTGTGAAATAAACGTCAGGAAAAATTATTTGGGATTAATCAAACTGTATGTTTTGTTAACACTGAAACATTTCATTCCAATTCAAACTTTTAAAAATGTTATCTTATATAAAATTAAAAAAACTGAAAAAAAGTTGTTTCAGGAAGGAAAACTGAAACACTCCATCCCCAGTTTATTTTAATTAAACTCTAACTAAGTCAATATATTTCTATGAAATGTTCACATTTCAACAAAACAGTATTTTTAGATGGAAAATATTCCATCCAAACTTTTCCGACCAGTTCCAACAGCTACTTCTGTTCAGAAATTACATTTTAATAATCTTATTTTGTTAACTCTTTCACAGCTAACATTGTACTGTTTAAGCACTATCTTATGTGGTTTGTTTGACTTGACATACCTGCTACAAGGGATACTACCAACTATGTATTTCTTATATAGGTGAGAATATTGCATGCCAATGCCCAAGTTCTAAACTTGGTTTTTAGTAATCAGATTGTTAATAGAGAACATTTTGGTAGCAACCAATGGAAAATGTACTATATAGAGAACCTGTAAAGGAAAACTGTTGGCTTTAATAGAAGACTAGCTTTAATGCATTTTATCAAGAGGTTATCTTATCTAAATGGATTTTAGATGCAGGGTTCAAATTATACACCAGCTCTTATGGGGGTCTGTTGTGGTGGCACCTGGAAGGAGCCACCACCATCTAAGCTGGTTAGAAAGGCATGGGGCAGGCCAGGACCTCTCATCTCTTATGGGGGGGGGGGGGGGACAGGACTCAGCCCCCCTGAACCCCACCATATTTTGAACCCTGCTTGGATGTACTGTCATTTAACTATGTACAAGTATTGGACAATTTGTAAAAATGTGCGTTTAAAATTAAGCTTTTAAACTTACATGAAGCACTTACACAAAAAAACTAATTTTCAGAGGTATTGAGAAATCTGCAGTTCCCATTGCCTTTAGACATGCAGGTTTTCAAATGATGGCCACTTTGCAGGATGCATCTATGAAAAGGGTTCCAAGGAAGAAGGATTAACATTGGGTCCAGAACCAAGATGCAAGGATATATCAGAGCACTTTGAACCTTAATAACAAGTACCTGTGCTTTGAAAAAAAGATGCTGGTACTACTGCATTCTGAGTGCTGCCATGGCTGGCTTTCCTCTCATGAACTGTCCCAATAAAAAGGATAACTTAGTGGATTTTTTTATTTAAATAAAGGAAACATACCAAATGTGTTCTCATTTTAAAACCTATAAATAAGATACCTTTAATCAGACTGGTTTACAAATTAGAGATTACAAGTGTTCAGTCCCCTTGAGGAGTAAAAATAATCAGGATGATGACACGTGATTAGAGAAAGGCCACTCCATGCCAAGAATTTTAATCTACAAGCAATTATTTAAAGACAGGAGAAGACAGCTGTATAAAATGAAAGAGGTAAGATAATTAAGGAATAACAAAAGAGCAGAAAGTTGTTTTTACAAATGGACCATCAATGCTGGCTTGTAGGTTTGACATATAAGTATGTATAAATTTGAGTAGGTGAGATAAAATTAAAACAATTGTTTTCATTTTATTTTTGATGCTACTATATGCATATATCACACTGTAAATACAGCAGTGTGAATCACTGTAACACATTAAGTGATCAAATAAGAATTGGGCCCATCAAGGTCTTGACCTGCTTCTTCTGAATGAGGCATTGAGCCATAACTTTTAAAAGACCATAGTGCTGTATAATATAAATTACTTGTGATCGAACATCTCTTCAAGTTCAAGAATTCCCAGCCAAGAGAGATATCTTAAAGCACTGAGCCATGGCCCAGATATTCCATTTGTAAAGGATCTAGTCAAATAAGTAAAAATCAAAATCTTGCTGAAGAACCCTTTATCTAACTCAGCAAGTCAAGATGATTTCTACAGTCCTAGGACTCCAAATGATGGCATCAGCAGAATCATAGTTTGGGACCATCCCTCTTAAAGTATATGAAGGTAAACCATATCTGCCCTTTACTGAAGACTAGGGACCTACTGAATTCATGGTGGAAGTAGAGTAGGCGGTGACTCCTTTAATCATGCATGTTCCCCTGCATGCACCTTGCCCCTTGCCCTCTGCCTTGCTGCTGATTAATGGATGGCCCCACTGCTCCCTCCTGATCAGCAGGGAAGCTAAAACCATGGTTTTAAACATGGCACCATTTGTGCCTCCCTGTCAGTCAGCACCAAAAGGCAGGACTGTCTGGGGCCCCTCAGCCAATCAGTGGTGAGAGGCAAAAATGGCGCCATATTTAAAACTGCAATTTTTGCCTCCCCACTGATCAGGAGCGAGCTGCAATTGGGGGCCCCTCCACCAATTGGTGGGGTGGGAGACCCTGCAAGCTTAAAAGATCCACAGAGCACCCCACTTCTGCCATTAATTCGGTAGGTCCCTACTAAAGACATAAATTAGGTCTGTTAGAAAACCTGGATGGGACCATTCAGAACTTATTAGTGCTGTTCTCAGCTTAGATAAGTCACTGCTAAGTGACTAACTGCAACGTGTCCATAGCATGCCTCTTCCTGCTGTCACAAGAAACAAGACAAAGAGTCATTGATCAAAGCTGTGATTTTCATGTAGCACTACAGGATGCTGACATTAAGCTACTAGCTTAGAGATATGCCACTATCTTGAACTTGCTAAAATCTGCTTGGTCATTAGAAAAGTCATATTTCTGTAAAAAGATCACACGTGTCTTTGAAAACATGACAAGAAAAGAACTATAAATTTAGTGTCTGATCATTAAAACTGCATGGTTGGGGTGTTGCATATTTAAAAACAAAATAAAAATAGTGGATGTGAAAGGAAGTGAGAGTGCTGCTGGGTGACCACCAGCTTACTCTCAGCTACTAGGAAAAGAGACCTGAGAAAACATTAGTTAACATAGTAATTCATCAGCAAGATGAAGACTCCACTTATGCTCACTTAGGCAGGACTTAAGCTGGTCCCTTCAGTGCATTAAACTATTCCTTGGGCATGCCCTTCCTGGCCCCATTTGTCCATAGTTTCAACTTGCATTGAAAAGTTGCTGCTCATTTTACAATGACTGACAAGGGTCTAAATGTTAATACCTAAATATTTCAGTAAAATTACTTATCCACCAGGACATCTCAGTTTGTTTTCATCTTTTAAAAGTGGCAGCTTTTCATATCTTCTTTCCGTTTCATTTTATTCTTAGTGAATGAGGCACCATAAAAAGCTGTCCTGGGACCTGGTTCCCCATTTACAACTATTGTTATGGTAGGAACCTTAAACTTTAAAAATAGTATCTGCTGAGCCTAAACATCTGACTGAAGAATACTTGTTTTGTGTGTAAGGAAGCCAAGACAAATCAGCTGACCCACACAGCACTAGCATAACATAGTGACCTCTGAATAACTTATGTCAATCTTGCTAGTTTTAAAGCTTTGTCACGGTGTGCATTAGTGAAGTATTGTGCTCTTCAGTGTCTTAGAAATTTCCCAAACAATCAAGATAGTCAGTCACTGTTTATAACATATGCTTTTGTCCAGACAAAATTCAAGTGGTATGAGACAGCCACATGCACATATCTCTCCCAACTTTTCTTTATTTCAAAATTTAGACATAGTTACAGTGCTAGGATCTATGCTGGCTTTTTGTTTGTACATTGAACAAATCCAAATACAGTCTTATTAGTATGGGGATTCGATTTTCATGTTTCCTACAGGCATGGCTTTTGCTTACATAAATGACATATTTTTGCAAAGGAAGTAGCATGTTTTCGTCTTCCTTGGTTAGGTTTGGGTTGCCATCTGCGGGCAGTAATATTTTGTTGTACCTACAATATGCATTTTCCTGTATTTGTAATATCTTCTTAGACCCACAAACCGAGTTTACATGTTTCTGAAAGTTTAAATAACTTTTCAGAGTCATGTCTGCAAATGCTGATGTGACTGGAAAGAGAGAAGAGAAATAAACTACATATTTGTTATAGTTCATAAACTTGAAATTGGGAAATTCAATTTTATAACATATGCAGGGAAAGGGTAGAGAAATGGGCCAGAGAAAAATTATGAATGGTTCTTATTTCTAGTTGTATGTACTTAGGAAAACTGCCCTTAGATATGCAAATTCATTTCAGAATGAACCTTTTATTACAATCCTGCGGTGGGCCAACGGAGCAGATTCTTAGTTATGTTGAGGCATTTATGTACTCCTGAAGAAAAGAAAGAGACCACAAACACATTTTACTAGGATTTCAGAACATATCTCTCTCACAAAATGCAAAGCTAAATCATTAACAGATTGTACCATCAAGGCTATTAGAATCATATTCAACCTTTGAGAGAAATAACTCAAATGACAGACACAAACCAATAGCCAAACAGAAAAAGTAAATGTCCTGATTTAATGACAAATATATTTTTAACAGAATGATAGATTAATAATAAGCTCTGTCTATGCACCAACCCTTTGTATCCAGAGTCTTTCTGATGATGGAGCTTCAATCAAGCTCACAGTTGCTTAGTTGTTTATGGAACACTCATTTCCCCCCCAAAGTTTAAGGACAGACATTTTTAGCCTTTTTAATGGTCTATAGATGTATGGGCAGTTGCCAACCACAGTGGCTACATTTTTTTACTGCTGTATATGAAGCAAAGTGAATATTTTCATGCTAGTATTCCATAGCATGACTGAAGGTATTGAAGACCTGCCCTAAATAAGCGAGGTTTGTTTATCCTAGCAAAAATAAGCCTGAGAGGGCATGTGATTCCTGTGTAAAGACATCAGCAATAGAGAAGAGCTATTTAACCGTAAGGGCAATTCTGGCATAATAATAAATGGGTATAAGCAGACCATGAATAAATTAGAGTAGTGAGGTTCTAGAACAGTATTCCAGTAAAAGTACTGGGGAGAAAAGCCCTAACTACTGTTCAAATTAATGAGGTTTCTGGTCCATGAGGCCAGAAAATGTCTTTGAATTTCAAAGTAGACGTACTTTGAATTATCCATATCATAATGCATACAAAAACCTATCCTTTTGGCTGGTGAGTGACAATAGCTCTAAGTATCCAACACTTTAAACTATCCAATATCAAACTAACAAGATTTTACTGTAAGTTCAACTGCATTTTAAATATACAAACTAACAGTTTGTGTTTGAAGTATCTGTTTCTAAAGCATATCAAAACTTAACTGAGCAGCCCCTTTCTTCAAAGGGCATATAGTCATTAATATATTTAAGAAAATATGATTCTACTTAGCCAGGTTTTCAAATACAGTATTTATCAGTGTACCAAATGACAGCCTACACCATGAAGTAACCACACATTAGTGACAATAGCAACACATAGATTATATTAAGGAGATGCAGCTGAAAGAAGTTCTCTCCTCTGGGAAATTATGTGAAAATTAGAAGTAAGAGGGACATGTTAAGTAGAAACAGATGTCTGAAAATTCTCAGAGATTGCTTTAAGGCCATATTTTCCATTAAGAAGTTTGGAAGTAGCAGTAGGCTTGAGTAGTATAGATACTGACAGTTGATGAGCCTTCATGAACCCCTCAAGTTCTATACGGAAGTTCTCAGGCACTCTCAGCTCCCTTCTCTCAGGTCTACATGCTATTCTTGGAGCGGCTTAACAAATTCTTCTTACTCATCAAATAAAGCTGTTTTTCATGTTTACATATACTTCCAAGGAATCAATCCTCACAGTACCTCTTCAATGTAGTATTAGCAAATAGTAGCTGCTGCCATACTAGAGTCTCCACTGATCTGGAAAGAGGATTGAAGGCTTGACTCTTGCATTTTTTTATACCACCTAGAGGAGTTATACAAGCATAACATTTTAGGGAAATGGGTTTTGAAGGGACCTCAAGACATCATCTACTCCCACCCCCTGTTCAGAGCAGGATCATCCCTGTCTAAACCACCATAGGCAAATGTTAATCTAACCAGCTCTTAAAAACTTCCATGGATGGAGATTCCACAGTCTCTCTAGGTAGCCTGTTCAATGTTTAGCCACTCTCACAGTGAGAAAGTTCATCCTAAAATCCAACATAAATTGCCTTCCTGCAATTTAAGACCATTACTTCTAATGATGTAAGACTGAATGGGTGCATCTACACAAGATGCTTTACTGTGCATTAGACTGATCTTATGTGCAGTAAATTGTCACCATTTACACATGTGCAACAATTATTGTGGAATGTATTAGTCTAATGTGCTGCTTTCTAGTACCTGTATATACATTCAAGTATTTGAAAACAGTTATCAAAATCCCCCTTAGTTTTCTATTCTTCAAACTAAATAATCAGTTTTTCCTACTTTTCTCATAAGTCACGTTTTCCAGACCTATAATCATTTTGTTATGCTCTGACCTTCTGACCCACAGAATCCACCACCTTGTTTTAGGCTGAAATCAAGTTGATTGGGCATGAATTGCTCTTAATGAATCCATTTTGGGTGTCCCTGATAGCTAAGGGTACTGGGGAATCTATATGACATATAAGAGATGATGTAGAAAACACTGTTACAATGCCAGTTTCCAAATGGCATTAACTAAGAGTAGATTTAGTTGAGAAGTTTTCATTGAAATGGTTTTGATTTTGTTTTATGTTTTGTTTTTTTAAGGACACAAAATAACACCTCCAGAACAAACAAGATTTTCATTTTTTAAAAATGGCAGCATTTCATGAGAACAATAAAAGGCACTTCACTGACCTCAGGACTATTCCCACTTGCCAAATTTCAGGTTATTTGTCTAAACCACATTGGACTTCTGGCTACTTAGAACAATGATTGGAAAAAAGTCAGCTACCTGTTTTTCACTAATATTTTTCCTTGGATATTGTGATATGTATTTGCTGAAAGTTAAAAAGAATCCAGCCTAATGAAAAGGCTATCTGCACAAAATTTTATCTGAAATAGTTCTAATTTGCCAGGCATGATAAACTGAAAAGAAAGGTTATATCTAGAAGGTGTTGGGCAACCTTACCTGTAAGCACATGGCATACAGACAGCTCAATTCACCCTTTAGATACTCCTGACTTTCACCAATAGATACCAGGCTCTACCTGTATTACTAATTAATAAGATGACAATACAGGATTCTCATAAATATGCAGCATACTTCCTGGGTTTGTTGAAATGTCTTTCTCTGGTCAGCACTGCATAGAGCACAGGAAGAAGAGTACAGTAAAATCTGTTATCTGGTATCCCTGGGGTAAGAGGATTGCCAGTTATGTAAAAATTTTGGTTATCTGAAATAACCCGGCAGGGGTTTTCAGATAACGTGGAGTGGGCTGGGCGGAGGAGGCTGCATGCCAAGCAACACCAGCTCAGGGTAGTGCGTGGCAACGGCGGCCGTGGCATGCAAACTTCCCCCCCAGCCTCCTGCGTCCAGCTGGCCGGCAGCTGGAAATTCTGGTTAGTAGAGTGTGCCTCTTAGTAAAATCCCAGATAACAGGGATATTACTGTATATGGTGATGATGCCTTCTCTGGAACAGCTGTCCTAGTGAGCAAGGACAGCAATGTGATATGCACTCTCCTTTATTTCTTGGGCAAATTATGTCCATAAACTGAATAGTGTCCTTTGGATTTTGGTCTTCCTAATGGAAGGTTCAATAAAAAAAAGTATATTTTGGGCTAGGTAACATGTCACTGAAAGTGGTGAGTGCAGTTGCTGGCCTCCATTTAAGACAGCTGGAAAGAAATGCATCAGCTCCTTTAGGAAACAATAGCAATCTCTCCTACAAACACAGGCACATCTCAACATCTCAAACTAAAGGGACATATGGGCTCACTCAGGAATTTGAATGGGGTAAGAGTGCCTGGTCTGGGTATTGTTTTTAGGCTTTAGTAAAGCATGGATATATGTGTGTGTCTGGGGATGTATGCATATATGAACACACACACACACGGTGGAAAGCAAGGAAAAAAAAATCACAAAAAGTCAGAGAAGAAACAGAAAATCCAGACAACTTGTAAAAGCTAAGAAAGCAAGGCCCTGAGAGTACAGACAGCTTGGGGACTGAATGCTAGGAGACTGATAAGGGCCTGAAGTTGTGGCAAAGGATATCTTTAGTCTGCTTCCCTTGCATCTAGGGAACTAGGACATTGCAGATTTTTCTGTAAGTAGGAGCCCATCCAAATCCATAATTAACGTTTTGTTCTGAAAATAGCCTACAAATCGGTCAAAAAGAGGATACCAAGATGTTACTGTTAGAGGTCCAAAAAAAATTAACTGTTGAACCTGGAACTGATCTCCTGCAGCATAAACTGTGTACTTTTTAAAAGATTACTGAAGCAGTGTCACATGTTGCTATAAAATGCACACTGCTGCTCTCTCTTTACAGGTAGTAACTGCCTTATTAATTCTCAGAACTCAAAATTTTGAGAAGAACCACTCTTGAAACTTCTCTATAACATTCTCCCTAGTTGTTGCCTAGCGTATAACATTGATTACAGTAATTATTCTGCCTTTTCCCCTCACAAGTTACATAAGATGTTTTTAAAGCATCAATCAACAGAAGACCAATTATGACTGGGGAGCTTAAGGCATTCTTTTCTGGTTGGCATGGTTACAACAAGGTGATTTCTTTCACAATTAGTGCTTACAATATTCCAACATGTATGTTGGAAAAAAAAAATAATTACATAGAAGTGCAACACACCTCAAGTAGCATCTAAGTCAAAAAATTACTACAAAAATGCCATTGTTCTGAATACCATTATTTAATTAGGTAATGACAACATACCGACTGTGGGGTGGTTTGAATCACTTGACCTCTTTTATTCTAAAACAGCCCCAACTATTATTCTAACCTTATTTCCGCTGCACAAGCCCAACATATCTTTAAGCATCTGTATAAATACAAAATCACTCTCCATGTTTTGGAACTAATTTAGACATTTTTCTTCAATTTAGGGGTTTTGTTCTGCCAAAAGACTGACATATGCTTACCACAAAAATACAGTTATAATGCTCTGATCATGACTTGAACTAACCATATAATATGTGATAGCATATTTACATTTTCTATGTTTTTAGAATAGTTTGAAGATAGCCTACAATATCAATTATCCCTCCCCCCACAACCCCATTAGAGAGGTTATTTTTGTGTAATCCCTGAAAGTTTAGACAATTTATCTGAACTTCATTGCCTCTCCTCAGCATTAGCATAGAGTTGCTGATAAAACAGTTGCTACATTTCCCTCAGGGATGGATTATGACTCTCTGTACATAATACGCATATCAGTCAGTGAAGGGTTTTGGGTTTCTCTGAGATGACAGGTGCTATGTATTAGAACAGGTCGGGATTTTTTGGATTGAACTTTTTTTGAGGAAAAATTACAATTATTCAGATGTTAAAATGAACACAGGTAGATGACTCGGACAAATTTCTCATTTGGGAAAAAAAAAGTGCTCAAATGAGCCATTTTTTTGATTCTCAAAATAACATTTTTCCACTGTCTGTTCTTAATGGCTTTTATCTTGAAATAGCAGAAAATTCATCTTAATAAAATATTTTAAAACTATTAAAAGGATCTTAAATGAAATGACCCAAACCAGAACTTTCTCCAAATGTTGGATCATGAGATTTTGAGAGTTCAACCTTTTGTCCCAATTTGGAAAGGGAACCCTGTTGAAATATCGCTCTCCCTGCCCCTCGCCCCCCAAGACAGCAAGCTGAACCAGGACAACTTTCTATCTAGCTTTCTTCCTTATTTCCAAAACTAAGACTTTCTTTCCACTCAAAGTATATCCTTCTCCCTTAAATCTAATCCAGTGTTTTGAACTCATTCTTCTTGGCTATCAATCCCCAGACATTGTCCATCTCACTCACTTTCCTTGGTATGCTTCTGACTTTTGGTAAGATCAATTTGAATGGAAAATGTTGAATGTTGAGTTGTCTTGTATTTCCTAAGCCGTTTACCCAGAAAACATTTAAAGGAAAGGCTTCTCTAACTATATAAGCCAGTCTGCTATATGCCTCTGTAAGGCAATTTGCCTAAGAACAAATCCCACTTGTAAAAATATTATTGTCGAAAATGCCATAAAAGAAGGCATTGCTTTCAATTATGTATTTTGTTGTTATTTTCCAGCCCAAAACATATCATATTATTTCCAAGAGCTGCCTGCTGGCCTCAGTGAATCAGAGTAGTTTCAAAGTAATTTACATTTTGATTTGCTTTGGAGTGTAGAGAGATAGATCCGAGCTACAGACTTTGCAACTGAAATGTTTGGATTTAGAATTGAGGGTCAGAGCTTGCACAGGGGAACATTTTACAAGTGATGGCCCCTGTTCTGCAAGTTGACTACATATAGCCTCCTCACCCTGTGGAAACTCACTGACTTCAGTAGGGTTTTGTGTCGGAAAATAAGTTTTCCTCCACAGAACAACATGCAGAGGCAGGGTCAGGAGCTCCACCTGTTTCAGCAGTTTTGTCAGCCCACTGAAATCAAGGGAATACATCAGGAAAGGCATGGTATATTAGCTCTATCAAACATAATAGTCCATCGTGTGCCTAATGAATAAGTTTAATTTACCAAACTAAAGAGTCAAGAGCTAAGCAGCATTCGTGAGATTAAAATTAATGCAGTGAATTATATGTACAGGGACACCACCAGCTGTGAGCAGGGCCACTGGAAGAGTATTAGCTTAGTGGGCTCCTTTTTGTATTCATCTGCCATGCATTGACCAACTCAGAGCACTGCCACAGCCAGACAAAGAACAGATAATCAATGCAATGCATTTCTCCCCAAAGCAAAAGGATATAGTCAGAATTCAAGGGATATAAAGAGGATTTAAAGGGGTTCCAATGAGGAAATACCTGTCAAAGGGTGGCATAAAGAGTTTCAAAGATCTGCTTAGGGTTTCAGCAGGGTTAAATGGAGCATCCTTAAACTTCAAAAGGGCCTCCTAGGTAAAAGGGAAAACTGTGAGGCTTCATAATCTGCAATGGTCCCTCCATCCACTCCTCAGGAAACCATTTAAGAGGCAGTTCTTAGAAGTATGTAGCACCATATACTCTTACTGTCTGAAAACAAAGGAAATTGCCCAACTGAGGATTCAGTTTATTTACAACATGGTTTCTTACACCAGACAAATCTCTGAACTTAATATATATATATATTTCACACACATCGGGTGTTGCTCTGTTTTGGCACAGGTCATGGGCTTCTAAAGATTCGACTGATATCATTGTCATTGGGCTGGTTTGATGTAATGGCATGCCACTGGCCTAGGATTGACTGAACCATATATATTTTACACAGCTGGAGGCTGTCAGTGCTTGGAGCTGACATTTAGGGGCTGCGCACAAACAATTCCCTTCAAGCATTTGCAGACACCCTGGCACACTTCCAGATGTATGTTTAAAAAATAGCTAAGTAAGTAGGACTCTCTTTCGATCGTTTTTTCTGGTTCTGTCCCAGTTGCTAACACTGAACGACTCCGCTTTTAAATAGGTAGCCTCAAAACATATGATGGTTTTCTTTTTAGTCATCTTTCTACAGCAGATATGCTATGGATCCCATTCTCAGACCCCCACACCAGGATGATTAAACAGGCATTTTACTGCATAAAAGCTTCTAAAAATAGTTGCAAAACATGGGGCTTTGGGAGTCCTTTTTGCTCTTCTTTAGTAATTCATATTGTATACCACATTTAAAAAATGCAGAGAATATTTCTATAAAGGTGTTTCCTGGAAATTGCTTGGAGGTTTTCATTCAGTTCTAATCAGGAGAGGTGACTGATTCAGGATGCCAGGGCTCATCACCAGCCTGCATAACCTGAAGTTTGAAAACCAGAGCTTTCTATCTTGTGGCCTATGTCAAAACCCTAATCAGAATGCACCCCCCAAACTCTGGCAACATTGCAGATTGAATCTGATTTGAGACCCAAATTTGCCCTCCACCTCACCAGATACAATGTGTTACTAAAAGGAATTGGCAGAAGCATAACTGCTAGGGCCTGTGCCCTGTATGACAGCAGTGGCAGTAGGGCCAAGCTGGCTGTGGCAGTGGCTGGGGGGAGTTCGGGTTTCAGTTTGAATAGACTGAATAATTATCTTTTCTCCAAGTCTCCAGTGAACCTTTAGCTCCCAGATTGCAGGAGGCTCCCAGGATCCTCAGCTCTAAGGTAAAAAATTGCCAGAAGACTGTTCCAGGGCCAAGGACACACAGCTTCCTAGAAAAGGCTGCAGGGAAAATATGCCAGGCTCAGCTGCCAGAGCCCTCCGCCTTGGGATGGACCTGCCAGGAATCCAGGCAGCGTCTCCTCAGAGCCCAGCTTTCAGACAAAACATTTCAGGCTCAATGAGCTGTCATTTTTGACAAAACTTTGTTGTACTGCAACTATGCCCAGCTGTAGTAACTGTTACTGCACATTATAGCAACACTCACTTTACTAATCCTTTATGCTAGCAGAGCTATGTAAATGAGAATCAAACTGTCTCCAGACAAAGTTAAACAATACAAACTCTTTTACTCCCTGCCAGTGCATTATTGCAGCACTGCCCATACAATGCTTCATAATATGTAATGCTTATCAGTACTTTCACTGGCAATAAAAATCAGAGGGTCAAAATATTCAGCCACACTTTACCAGTTTATTATATCACTAGAGAATTTGGTACATAATGTTCTTTTTCTGCTTTCCAGCTAATTCTCTCCTATTTCTCCGCAGCCCTCTCCCTCAACTGCCATTTCCCCTGTATCAGACAGTAGTAATAAGAAGTACCACTAGGCATGACTAAGCAATAGGCAGGCGTGCATACCCACCTTGCTTAAATATTTGTTCACTCTCTCTACAGAAAGTGTTGCAACAAGTCCAGATGCTGGATAATCATTGAATGCCTACTGAATACACAAAGATATTAATTGAATTAACTATTACAATACCCATTCAGGTTTCCTTTTCAGTACTACACATTGAAATAGCCTGGAATGATTTCATGCATGTTCTTACTCAGGACATTAGAACAACTAAAGTTAATACTAAGTGTAAATAACCTAGTGTCAGATTTAGATCAGAACCAGTACACGCTAGGGCAGGATGCTTCAGAATATGAACTTGTTTGTTCTTTGATTTCATAGTGAGCCTGAGTGTATTCATTAAAGACTGGCAAGAACACATATGGAGACATATCAAACAAATGACTTTTGGCTCAAATCAGATTAATTTACTGGCAAAAGAAGAAGATAAAGAGATAAATCCCCAGGCCTGTTTTATAGACCAAAGCAATAGGAACTGTTTTAAGAAAGCAGCAAATTTAAGCCAAGTGCTAAAGCTAAAGCAATCGGCATATGTATGTGGGGGGGGGTGGGGATGGGAAGGGGCAGCAGAGTCTATAATGACAAAATCCTATATAATCACATTCGTAAGGGATTGCAGGTTATTTCAGGAGAAAACATTTAATAGTTTTTTATTAATTTTATTCAATTCAGCACATGGGTGTTTTCTTACCCCAGGAGTCATGGGACCCCTCTATATGTTACAGGTGTCACACCAGGCATGGCTGGTGAACTAAGACTGGTGGGGTGGGTGGAGCAGTACACGGGAATGGGGAGGGTTTGCAGCTGGCCAGGAACAGGGTGGGGTTTGCAACTTCCCCGCTCCTGGCCGGAGGGCCCAGCTGGCTGCAAGTGCCCCCTCCCAACTAGCTGCAAAACCCGCCACTCCTGTGTGACGCTCCACCCGCCCCACGAGTCTGAGTTCATCAGCTATGCCTGTATCACACACTTAACTGGTTAATTCTACAGTTACCTTGAGACCAACTACATGTGCAAAGCAACTATCATGCCATAAGGCCTAGGAACAGAAGTTACACATAAATTGATTTAAGTCATCAGAAACTGGTTTAAACCTGTAACAGAACAGAAGCTCAGTGCACATAAACCAGTTTCAAAATGGCTGAAACTGGTTTAAGATAAACCTTGTTGAATGTAGTATCAGACTTAACTGATTTGGGTAAAACTGGTTTATGAAACTTCTGTCCCAGACCCCTACCTGGTTCAAGCTAAATCACAGTCCCCCAGCATACTTTGCACCCTGGGCTGGGCTGTGCTGTCTGCTCCAGAGAGCAGGGCTGGCCCCATCCCTCTGCTCCCTAGCTGGAGCAGTGAGAACTGGCTGACAAGGAGGTGGGGGGAGGGAGGTGGCTGGGGGTGCAACCCAGTCTGCAGGTGGGGGGCTGCTGCCCCCGCAGGCAAACCCTGGCTGGCATCTGGGGTCAGGGAGGAGGTTAAACACCTCTTGCCCCACTGAAACTTACTGCTAGCTGTAATGGAGGAGTACAAATCACAGAGGCACCTGGAAGAAGGGATAAGCAACCCTGCTGAGTCCTGCTTCTGTGATGCTGGGCTGGACTGCAAATCCCAGAGACCTCGGGGGCAGCAGGAAGAGGAAGTGAACTCATAGCCAAAGAGCTGTGCTCTAGCACCCTCCTGCTTCTGGCCTGAGTCATTGCAGGCATGTGGTTGGATTTTCTGTATCAAAGGTAAATGTGAGTACGGCCACACATCAGGGTAGGCTGACTATCCAGGCCGACCTAGACAGATTAGTTAAATGGGCAGACCAGAACCAGATGCTGCTCAACACTGAGAAGTGTAAAGTGCTCCATCTGGGGAGGAAAAATCCACAACAAACTTACAGGCTCGGTGGTGCTGTGCTACTTAGCACCACATCTGAAAGGGACCTGGGGGGTCATCATTGACCAGAAAATTAATATGAGCCACTAGTGTAATAGTACAGTTAGCAGAGCAAACAATATGCTAGCATGCATCCACCAATTTATCTCAAGTAAAACTATGAAGTTATTCTCCCACTCTACTCAGCATTGGGGAGACCACAGCTGGAGTACTGCATCCAGTTCTAGGTGCCACACTTCAAGAAGGATGTGGAGAAGCTTGAGAGAGTCAAGAGAAGAGCCATTCATATGATTAGAGGCCTGAAGAGCAAGCCATATGAGGAAAGGCTGACAGATATGTGACTGTTCAGCCTAGAAAAGAGAAGACGACTTTGAGGGGATTTGGTGGCAGCTTACAAATATATCAGGGGAGAGCATCAGGGGCTAGGCCAGGGGTGTCCAACCTTTTTGAACGTGGGGCTGGATCATGAACTTTTTATCACCCAGTGGGCTGGCGAGCTGTATTCAAAGACCTCACAAGAAGCGGTATCACATCAGGAAGTGATGTCACATGACCTTTGACACCAATGAAGTTGCAGGAAGTGACAATGAAATGGGTCTGGAAATGTGGTTTAAAATCCAAAATAAAAACAATATAAAAGCAACAATGAAATAATGCCAAACACTTGACTAAAATAAACACTGTCGCATAATGAAAGAAGCATAATGCAAGTTGACAGATCAAATGTGGAAAAGCTATCAGCCACAGTGGAAACTAATCAAAGGTGGAGGGATGTCTTGGCGGGAGACACCTGCGCGGTGCTTTACAGCCTCTGCCACTCACTGCCTTGCAAGGGGCAGGCTGGAGGGGAGGGAGGAGGGAGTGGGGGCTCCTCAGTGCATCTGAGAGGCTGCGAGAGAGACTTGCGGCTCAGCTGGGCATGGCCGCAGCTGCAGCTGGGCATGGAGCAGAGCGGGGCAGAGAGAGGCGCTGCCATGCGTAGGAGCCCCAGTCCGGGCTCCTCCTTGTCCTCCCAGCCACAGCCTCCCTGGGATGTGTGGGAAAGGCACCCTTCGCTCCGCCGCTGCCCACCTTGCTGTCCTAGTGGCTGCATGTGCCCGCGCCACCTCCCGTCCCCAGCAGCACATGAGAAGCAGCCCCGTCGGGACTTGGGGCCTTGTATTAGGGCAGCTGGGCCTGGAGAGCCACAGCGCCTGGGGGGAGACTGGCTGGGGGAGCAGGCACTGCCTTGCTGTGGGGCAAGGCAGAGCAGGGCAGCAAGGCTGGCTTAAAGTGGGCAGGTGAGGAGGCAGGCACAGGCCGGCAGTGTCAGCAGCAGCTGCTTGGCTTCCCATGCGGGGCCGCTCCGGCAGCACAAGGCACAGGGCACGGGCATG